CTAACCATGGTTAGACACTGTCTAACACAATGGGAACTACACTCCCGCCAAGAGTGTAAAAGTATTCCTTTATCTCCACATCCTCTCCAGCATCTGTTGTCTCCAGATTTTTTAATGATCGCCATTCTAACTGGCGTGAGATAGTATCTCAATGTGGTTTTGATTTGCATCTCTCTGATGACCAGTGACGATGAGCATTTTTTCATATGACTGTTGGCCTCATATATGTCTTCTTTTGTAAAGTGTCTGTTCATATCCTTTGCCCAATGTTGAATGGGCTTGTTTTTTTCCTGTAAATCTGTTTGAGTTCTTTGTAAATTCTGGATATCAGCCCTTTGTCAGATGGGTAAGCTGTGGAGTTTGATTAGGTCCCATTTGTCTATTTTGGCTTTTGTTGCCAATGCTTTTGGTGTTTTGTTCATGAAGTCCTTGCCTACTCCTATGTCCTGGATAGTTTTGCCTAGATTTCCTTCTAGGGTTTTTATCGTGCCAGGTCTTGTGTTTAAGTCTTTAATCCATCTGGAGTTAATTTTAGTGTAAGGTGTCAGGAAGGGGTCCAGTTTCTGCTTTCTGCACATGGCTAGCCAGTTTTCCCAACACCATTTGATAAACAGGGAATCCTTTCCCCATTGCTTTTGTCAGGTTCATTAAAGATTGTATAGTTGTAGATATGTTGTGTTGCCTAGGGTGCCTCTGTTTTGTTCCATTGGTCTATATCTCTGTTTTGGTACCAGTACCATGCTGTTTTGATTACTGTAGCCTTGTAGTATAGTTTGAAATCCAGTAGGGTGATGCCCCCCGCTGTGTTCTTTTTGCTTAGAATTGACTTGGCTATGCGGGCTCTCTTTTGGTTCCATATGAAGTTCATGGTGGTTTTTTCCAGTTCTGTGAAGAAAGTCAATGGTAGCTTGATGGGGATAGCGTTGATTCCGTAAATTACTTTGGGCAGTATAGCCATTTTCACGATATTAATTCTTCCTAACCATGAACATGGAATGTTTCTCCATCGGTTTGTGTCCTCTCTGATTTCGTTGAGCAGTGGTTTGTAGTTCTCCTTGAAGAGGTCCCTTACGTTCCTTGTGAGTTGTATTCCAAGGTATTTTATTCTTTTTGTAGCAATTGAGAATGGCAGTTCGTTCTTGATTTGGCTTTCTTTAAGTCTGTTATTGGTGTAGATGAATGCTTGTGATTTTTGCACATTGATTTTATATCCTGAGACTTTGCTGAAGTTGCTTATCAGTTTCAGGAGTTTTTGGGCTGAGGCGATGGGGTCTTCTAGGTATACTATCATGTGGTCTGCAAATAGAGACAATTTGGCTTCCACCTTTCCTATTTGAATACCCTTTATTTCTTTTTCTTGCCTGATTGCTCTGGCTAGAATTTCCAGTACTATATTGAATAGGAGTGGTGAAAGAGGGCATCCTTGTCTAGTGCCGGATTTCAAAGGGAATGCTTCCAGTTTTTGCCCATTCAGTATGATATTGGCTGTTGGTTTGTCATAAATAGCTTTTGTTACTTTGAGATACGTTCCATCGATACCGAGTTTATTGAGGGTTTTTAGCATAAAGGGCTGTTGAATTTTGTCAAATGCCTTCTCTGCGTCACTTCAGATAATCATGTGGTTTTTGTTTTTGGTTCTGTTTATGTGATGAATTACGTTGATAGGCTTGCATATGTTGAACCAGCCTTGCATCCGCGGGATGAATCCTACTTGATCATGATGAATAAGTTTTTTGATTTGCTGTTGCAATCGACTTGCCAATATTTTATTGAAGATTTTTGCATCTATGTTCATCATGGATATTGGCCTGAAGTTTCCTTTTCTTGTTGGGTCTCTGCCGGGTTTTGGTATCAGGATGATGTTGGTCTCATAAAATGATTTGGGAAGGATTCCCTCTATTTGGATTATTTGGAATAGTTTTAGAAGGAATGGTACCAGCTCCTCTTTGTGTGTCTGGTAGAATTCGGCTGTGAACCCATCTGGACCTGGGCTTTTTTTGTGTGGTAGGCTCTTAAATGCTGCCTCGACTTCTGACCTTGTTATTGGTCTATTCATAGTTTCAGCTTCCTCCTGGTTTAGGCTTGGGAGGACACAGGAGTCCAGGAATTTATCCATTTCTTCCAGGTTTACTAGTTTATGTGCATAGAGTTGTTTGCAATATTCTCTGATGATGGTTTGAATTTCTGTGGAATCTGTGGTGATTTCCCCTTTATCATTTTTTATTGCATCTATTTGGTTGTTCTCTCTTTTCTTCTTAATCAATCTGGCTAGTGGTCTATTTTGTTGATCTTTTCAAAAAAACCAGCTCTTGGATTTATTGATTTTTTGAAGGGTTTTTCGTGTCTCAATCTCCTTCAGTTCAGCTCTGATCTTAGGTATTTCTTGTCTTCTGCTGGGTTTTGAGTTTTTTTGATCTTGTTCCTCTAGCTCTTTCAATTTTGATGATAGGGTTTCAATTTTGGATCTCTCTATTCTCCTCATATGGGCACTTATTGCTATATACTTTACTCTAGAGACTGCTTTAAATGTGTCACAGAGATTCTGGCATGTTGTGTCTTCGTTCTCATTGGTTTCGAAGAACTTCTTTATTTCTGTCTTCATTTCATTGTTTACCCAGTCAACATTCAAGAGCCAGTTGTTCAGTTTCCATGAAGCTGTGCGGTTCTGGGTTGGTTTCTGAATTCTGAGTTCTAACTTGATTGCACTATGGTCTGAGAAGCTGTTTGTTATGATTTCAGTTGTTTTGCATTTGCTGAGCAGTGCTTTACTTCCAATTATGTGGTCAATTTTAGAGTAGGTGTGATGTGGTGCTGAGAAGAATGTATATTCTGTGGATTTGGGGTAGAGAGTTCTGTAAATGTCTATCAGGTTTGCTTGCTCCAGGTCTGAGTTCAAGCCCTGGATATCCTTGTTGATTTTCTGTCTGGTTGATCTGTCTAATATTGACAGTGGAGTGTTAAAGTCTCCCACTAGTATTGTGTGGGAGTCTAAGTCTCTTTGTAAGTCATTAAGAACTTGCCTTATGTATCTGGGTGCTCCTGCATTGGGTCCATATATGTTTAGGATCGTTAGCTCTTCTTGTTGTATCGATCCTTTTACCATTATGTAATGGCCTTCTTTGTCTCTTTTGATCTTTGTTGCTTTAAAGTCTATTTTATCAGAGATGAGAATTGCAACTCCTGCTTTTTTTTGCTCTCCATTTGCTTGGTAAATCTTCCTCCATCCCTTTATTTTGAGCCTTTTTGTACTTTTGCATGTGAGATGGGTTTCCTGGATACAGCACACTGATGGGTTTTGGATTTTTATCCAATTTGCCAGTCTGTGTCTTTTGATTCGTGCATTTAGTCCATTTACTTTTAGGGTTAATATTGTTATGTGTGAATTTGATACCACCATTTTGATGCTAAGTGGCTGTTTTGCCTGTTAGTTCTTGTAGATTCTTCATTATGTTGATGCTCTTTAGCATTTAGTGTGATTTTGGAATGGCTGGTACTGGTTGTTCTTTTCTATGTGTAGTGCCTCCTTCAGGAGCTCTTGTAAAGCAGGCCTGGTGGAGACAGAATCTCTGAGTACTTGCTTGTTCACAAAGGACTTTATTTTTCCTTCACTTATGAAGCTCAGTTTGGCTGGATATGAAATTCTGGGTTGAAAGTTCTTTTCTTTAAGGATGTTGAATATTGGCCCCCACTCTCTTCTGGCTTGTAGTGTTTCTGCCGAGAGATCTGCTGTGAGTCTGATGGGCTTCCCTTTGTGGGTGACCCGACCTTTCTCTCTGGCTGCCCTTAGTATTTTCTCCTTTATTTCAACCTTGTTGAATCTGACGATTATGTGCCTTGGGGTTGCTCTTCTTGCGGAATATCTTTGTGGTGTTCTCTGTATTTCCTGCATTTGAGTGTTGGCCTGTCTTGCTAGGTGGGGGAAATTTGCCTGGATGATGTCCTGAAGAGTATTTTCCAGCTTGGATTCATTCTCTTCGTCCCCTTCTGGTATACCTATCAAACGTAGGTTAGGTCTTTTCACGTAGTCCCACATTTCTTGGAGACAGTACAGATAATTATCTAAACACTACTGTTTTTAAAAAAACAAAGGCATAAATATATTATTTTTTGAATAACACAACTTAGGTTGGGAATTTATACATAGACGTCAGAGATAATTATTGATAAATACCTTCTACTCTGAATTACTTTCTACTCAAGTGGCAGAAGCGGCCATTTCAACACTGTGGAATCAACTGACTACACTACTTTCTTGCTCAAAAGCTACACATGGAGCAAACACAGTATTTACTTTCCCTTCTATATCCACTTAAAAGACATGGTATAGAAAGCATCAAAGGGCAGAGAAGTGCTCTAGTCCTGGCCTCGCTAATTTCTAAACAGTGTTTTAACTATGGGAAAGTCATTTAACCTTTTCAGTGCCCGTAATCAAAAGATAACACTATCTAGCCAACTTGTTTTGATAAACCAAAGTATTAATACAGATGACGGCACAAATGTAAAACTCTATTATGAAGAGGTACAGGAATACCTCTATCTACCTTGATGCAGTTTAGTGAAACTTCAATGATTCTGTCTCCCTAAGTTTTTCTAGATCTAAAACAAAATCTAAAGTTTATAGATTCAGTAGCATAAATAATTCAAATTATTCTAAAGAACAGCATTAAAAATTCTTAAGATTATGTTCTCAGCATCAAAAGCAGCTGTTAAAACTATGTAACACACAGAAAGGAATGGTAATAAAACGTAAATTCTCAAGTAAAGAGCTAGGATTAGTATAAAGGGAAAAAGAAATGTGAACCCGAGAAAACTTTCTTTGAAACATAAAAAAAGGGAGAGGTATAAAAATAAAAGAGGTTAGGTAAGAGCTAAAAAAGGATTTCTATTATTTACTCAAGGAGAAAAAGTAAATGTATTCCTATCGTCGACTACTTTATACTTTTACAATTTCACTCATTAAATTAAACACATTTATTCTATGAAATAAAATAGAAACTGACTTTATTTTAAGGGTTCCAGCATCCCAGAGCCAAAAACAAATAGTGCCATCTGCCCCAGTAGAAGATAGGTATCTCTTTGAGCCACTGCACAATGGTGAGAACTGAAAAGACAATCACAGAAAAAAAAAAATCTTTACAAGAGTGACACAGTCCAAATAAAATCTACCTTTACCATACAAATAGCAACTAACAATAACAGTTAGAAAATGGTCAGAATTTACCAAGATTATGACTACTATGTTATTTAAAGTCCATATATTTATAAAGAAAGCAGAAATACTCCTTTCTTCATTTTAGCTGGCCTTATAATGCTGGATTATAAAAGTGATTATAAAAGTAACTTCTTAAAATTTACTTTAAATAACCAAAAGTGACTTCATTAAATTTACTTTACATTATAACAACAATAAAAATGTATAGGGATTGAGATGTTTACCTGTAGTGATGTAATAGACGCACTGTGGCCCTGAAGAACAGCCAAAGGTGCACAGGTTCGAAGACACCAGACTCGAATCATTTTATCACAACTTCCAGCTGCTATCATGGTATTCTCATAGTTTACAGCCATGTCTGATATTTCAGCAGCATGTCCTCTTAAGGTAGCTAATAACCTCCCATCATCTGTTGCCCAGATTTTCACAAGACAATCATCAGAACCCTTAAAGCAAGAATAAGTATTAATAGAATTAACTCTATAAATTTTAATTCAAAACCTTAACACTGATAAAGAAATCATATCTGTTATGTCCACTTCTGAACAAGTATATTTTTAAATACCAAAAAATGTTAAATATTTGTGTTAGGAATTTTCCTCTACACAAAGCTCTTTATTGAGTTAAATCATTAAAAAGAGCAACTTGTGTACTCACCAGCAAGTAAGAGAAATGGGATACTGATGATAATTAACATTTACCTTGGTTTCCCTATCTACTAACAAAGTACTCTCAATGTGGATTTCTGTAAAAGAATTTGGGCCAGCCGTGGGGGCTCATGCCTGTAAATCCCAGCACTTTGGGAGGCTGAGGAGGGTAAATCACGAGGTCAAGAGATCGAGACCACCCTGGAAACATGGTGAAACCCCATCTCTACTAAAAATACAAAAATTAGCTAGGCATGGTGGTGCACACCTGTAGTCCCAGCTACTTGGGAGGCTGAGGCAGAAGAATCACTTGAACCTGGGTGGTGGAGGTTGCAGTTAGCTGAGATCGCACCACTGCACTCCAGCCTGGTGACAGAGTAAGACTCTGTCTCAAAAAAAAAAAAAAAAAAGAATTTGAACTTCAGAGATTAAAAAAAAAATTTAAGCTACAATGGTGACTAATTCTATCTATTTTGTTTTGTAATACAAAACTAAACATAAGCTTGTTTGGGGTTTTTTCTCTCAGGAAGCTATGAGTTTCCTATCACTGATCTTCAGCTAAAAACATGGCATCGTGTAAAACCAGTTGTCAGAAAAAAATTAATCCTATATGTATGAAAGTCAATAAAAATACATAAATTACTTGTTTACTATAGTAGTTTAAGTCCAGAAAAAAATACATTCGGAGTTTCCTACGAATACCTGTATTTACAAATGAACACTTCCATTTTTAAAAAGCCAAACTAAAGATCAGAACTTTCAGGCTTCATTTTATTATAAAAATTTTAAATATTTAAGAAAGTAGAAAGAACAGTGTCATTAATCCCATATATCTACTTCCCAGATTTTTGCCACATTTTCTTGTCTTTAACAGAAGGTTAAAACAGAAAACAGACACGCTTGCAAAATTACTGAATATTTTTCAGGATATAGTTTTACTAAGCGTTCATGTTAAAATGCTTGAGGACCTTCCAATCTAATTCTTAAAGAAACACCTTTATATCTGACATGAGAAAGAATTCAGAGGACCTACAGCGGCATATAATTCAGACAACTTTTTGCATCATACTGACAATAAATATAAAATATATATGATTCCAAAAGCACTGTATTAATGGAATATGTTAAGTGCTGTAACTTAAATCAGACTCTGCCAAGGCTACCTAAATCACCCCCTCAATTAACTATAAAGCCAATTCCTTTGATTGAGCTTCAGAGTAAAGTAAATGGGTTGCTAACTACTATAAATACCAGTAAAACTTAACTTTGGTCAACTATCCATACTAATATCTCGTATTCTTATCACATACCCTTAACCTCACTTTAGACTTTTCATCAATAAAACAAGGAAGTTAAATTGGATGGCCTTAAAGTTCCCTATACGTTTAAAATTAAGTGATTCATTCATTCATTTATCCCTTTGCCTTGTGATTAAGTATGTGACAACCACTAAAGACATAAGAATGAGGTATAAAGACACAGTATTCCTGTCCTTGTGAAGCAAGACAAAGAATGTCAATGTAATAATATACCCTAACATGCCCTAAGTGTTTAGCCATTGTTAATCAGCAGAGATTCAAACAAGGAAACAGTCTACTTTTCCTGAGATGGAGAGTAGGGTGCTGAAAGGAACCCAGAAGCAGTGATGCTTGAACAGAGTCTCATGCAAGAAGAGGCAATATAATGTAGCGGCTTAGAGGACACCCTCCAAGGTCAAATATATGACTTTGGATATGCTATAAAACTTCCGGTATCTCAGATTTCTCATCTATGCCAACCTCATAGTATTGTTACAAAACTAAATGAGGGTGAAGAGATAAAACACTGTCTGACACATGGTTAGGGATTTAGCTACTCACACTATTTTTGCTGGTGAGAGTATTCAAATTCTTACTTTAATAATAATATTATTTTAAAAAGGGCATTCCATATTGCAACTGTAAAGTATGTTCAAAGGCATGAAAATGTGAAACAATGTGGGTAGTTCACAGAACTGCAAGCAGCCTGCAAGGTAATTTTGAGTGTGAGGTAAAAGCATAAAGATGAAAAAATAAGAAATAATTGTGAAAGGCCTTTTACGGTTTACTAAGCAAAGTGGTATGTAATGAGGGTCACTCAAGATTATTAAGCAGGTGAGTATCAGGATATTTTTGTTTTCCAGAGATTATCCTGGCATCAGGGTGAATTAGGCTAGAAAGTAGGAGACCAGTTGAAAGTTGTTAAAATAGTATGGTCAGGAGAGAATGAGTGGTAACACAAATTATTATAGCAAAAAGGAATAATTAAAGACATGATTGTAACAGCTGTTTGGGGAATAAAAGGGATAAGGAGCACACCACTGAATATCTGTGGGAAGTGAAGGAAGTGCTGTAGCAGACTATGACTCCTAGAAAGCTGGTCTATACCACCACCTGGCACATGGGAAACATTAGGGATTTGTTGAGTAAAAAAATGCTTTAGAGCATTTATTAAAATTAATTTCTCTAAATTTCACAAACTGAATCAATGTATTCACTACATTTGATTATCTTCCCAAAATTGAAGCAATATTTGGTTCTGACCAGCACTCAGTACAAAAACAATTTTAAGTCCACTACAGTAGGTAGACTATGTAACAAAAGTAAAATCACAATATGTTTCACAACACCGACACAATTCCTATCATTCTTAATGAATCAGTGTGTTTTACATTGTACTATAAAGGCGCTTCACATATTTTTCATGTTAAGAAAAACACCAGTCTTTTGACCAAATTGTCAGTTTTAATGAAATGAGTAATGGCAATCTGTTACCTAAAATTAACCTCCACTGACTTTTCACCAATTGAAATATAACAAGAAGTCCCACTATATTCCTACTGGGTTTATCATTTAGTAATCTTACCAATTTAGTATTGCTCAATTTTCTCTATTTAGACAAGTGCTGAAAACACACACACAAAATGCATATTCTTCCCTTTGAGTGTATTATCTCAATTAACCTTTCTTTTCTTCCATCAAAATTGCCAGAGAGAGAAATACGTGACCACCCTTTCACAAAAATCTCTCTCCATTATCCTCTTCCATGACCCACAGAGGTTTACTGTCCCCTATCCTCAATTCCACCCCCTCAAGACTCCTGGAAGACGTTCCAACAGAATTCAAAGCATTCTTACCCAACTTCTAACTCATGTATCACTTCTGATAATTAATTTACCTTTATGGAAATTTGAAACAAAAGATAATCTGAGCATAAATTCCATAAAATTCTTTTAAGATGACTATACAATATACAAGTACTCAAAAATAATTGACTAAAAAGAACTGCAGAGGAAAAATTAAATGTATGGGAAAAAATGTTTAAAGCACTGTAAGTATTTTATTTTATTATTTATACATTTATTTATTTGAGACAGTCTTGCTCTATCACCCAGGCTGGAGTACAGTGGCATGATCATGGCTCACTATAACCTCCGCTTAACAGGTTCCAGTGGTTCCCATACCTCAGCCTCCTTAATAGCTGGGATTACTGATGTGCACCACTATATCCAGTTAATTTCTGTGTCTTTACTAGAGATGAGCGGTTTCTCCCTGGTTGGCCAGGCTGGTCTCGAACTCCTAGTCTCAAGTAATCCACCCACCTTGGCCTCCCAAAGTGCTGGAATTACAGGCTATAAATATGTTTTAAATAAATGTGGAAGAATGAATTAAAAATTGATAAAAATTATTCTTTTAAAAAAGACCAAAATGTCTAACAGAATTCGAACAGATATACTCTCTTTTCCATAAGCCTACTTCCAGTTCCACAAACATTACCAAGATCAATAAGCCAAAGAGTAAGATAATAGAGTCTTTCAGCCAAAGAAAAATATTAAAACCAAGTTATGGATATTAAAAACAATGTTATGTAAATGGTGAAAAGGGACAATAACGTAAGATTAACCTCTTCTAAGGCGTATGAAGGAAAAAGTAGGGTGGTGATCATGTAACCTCAGCAAAAAAAAATTTTTTTAAATCAGAGGATTAAAAGAGAGAGGGAGAGGATAACAACAGAATGAACTAAAAAACTAAAGAAAGTTTGGAAATGCAGTGGAAGAAAAGCAGTAAGAAAGGTGGAAAAATTCTGCAAGCAACAATTAAAGCTCTGCTAAATTTAAACAACATGATGTTAGAAATACCTTAACTGGCAGAGTTTTTTTTCAGCAAAGCTCCAATACCCAGGGGAAAACAAAGTTGTCCTTTCTTTTCAGTAATATTTCAATGATGCTGGGTACTGCTACTCTGGCTGGGAATTGGCAAAGTAAGAAAACTTGAAAGTACAAAGTATAAGTGAAAACAACTAAAGATTAAGCTGGAAAGGTTTTACCTAAGAAGGGTAATTAACAGTTTTAAATGCCTGTTAAGAGTTTGTATTTAACCTGCTCAAGTAGTCACTAGACAATCTGTAAGCAGACAAGACACGGTCACTACAGTATTTTAGTCAGATCCTGCTAGTGTCTTTGTGAGTAATAGATCTGAAGCTACAAGAGGTTTACAATAGAGATAAGAGATCTGGGTATTATGGGTTATACCATAGTAGTCAAAACAAGGATAGCAGACAAGATTGCTAAGAGAGAACACTTGGTGTAGATTTTTACCTGGAAAACTATGAACAGGTTTTTTAAAAATCCATGAGTTGGGTACAAAATTGAAAATGCTTTTTTATAATTCATTTAAAAATCAACTTATTAAGCTTACTTAATCACAAACAAAGATAAGGATAAGAGTGCAGCAAAGCTCTACCTTTTTTCCCCTCTCCCTCTCCCCCGCCCGCCCTCTCTC